CAGAACCGTGTTGCTAACAGGACCATGTTGCTAACAGGACCATGCTGATAATAGGACCATGCTGTTAACAGAACCGTGTTGCTAACAGGACCATGCTGCTAACAGGATCATGCTGCTAACAGAACTGTGTTGCTAACAGGACCATGTTGCTAACAGGACCATGCTGATAACAGGACCATGCTGTTAACAGAATCGTGTTGCTAACAGGACCATGCTGCTAACAGGACCATGCTGCTAACAGAATCATGTTGCTAACAGGACCATGCTGCTAACAGGACCATGCTGCTAACAGGATCATGCTGCTAACAGGATCATGTTGCTAACGGAACCATGTTACTAAAAGAACGTCACTGCCAACAGAACCACACTGCTAACAGGACCATGTCTCAGGTTGGGTTTTGGGTGCCCCCCCTCTCTTGGACCAGTTTTGGCCCCCCATTTGGTGGGTTGTGCTCCCCTCCGGTGGTGGGCCCCCATGCCGCCGGTGCATTGGCGGCTCTCAGTAGCTGGTGCTGGGTGGTGGGGTGTGTGCGGCCCCGCCCTTGTGGCTGCCTGTGGGGGCCTGGGTGCCCTGGCTCTGTCGGGCCTCATTTGGGGGGTGGTAAGACCTCGGGACTCGGGGCTTGGTGTCCATGGCCGGATCCACTCTGGAGGGGCGGGTTGCCGGCGGGGCCTGTTGACTCGTCGCTACAGCCTCCTGGGGGTTTCTGCATTGTGGTTGCTGGGGTTCGCCCGGGGCTTCCCTTTACTTCTCTCTCTGGGGGTGCGGGTGTCCCTGACAGGGGACTACCGGAGATCCGGGCTTGGGGGCCGCTGTGTGTCTGTGGTTCCGAGCTTCCCTGTGTTACATTCGTGTCCTGTGGGGACGGGTTTATGGGTCCCCACATCCACTATTGAACATTTTTATGGAGAAACCTTATAGTGACATCATGCTCACACAGGTGTTTAGATTCAGGTGTTTATCAGATACACACTCAGTTGGGTTGTGGTGGCCACTAAATATATCTTGTATTACCATGTACTGTATAAAATACTTTCTAATGATGTTATAAGTATCATTATATATGTTGTTTGTTGTTGTGGTTTCTCGTTGTTTTTTTTTCTCCCGCAGGTCTAGAGTCAGACTTCAATGATGTTGATTTGTGTTCTCTTTATCTCTCTCTCTCTCCTCTGTTCCTATCTTCTTCTTTACATTTTAACTCTTCTCACTTTTCTGCTTTGTTTTCTTCTTTGTTTTTCATCCCCGTGTCCATTACATCTGGAACAAACCCAAAGCATATTCTAATAAAATTTAATTTATATATCAAGTGGAGCATTAAGTCCAGCCATGATGCTCTGCTTGTGAAAGTAAATCTGTTGGACATCACTTTGACACTCACACAATAATTCTAAGTGTCACAATGAAGGACAGGACAAGGGGGAAAAACAAAATAAAAAAAAAATAAAAAAAACAGGACCATGCTGCTAACAGGATCATGTTGCTAAAGGGACCATGTTGCTAAAAGAACGTCACTGCCAACAGAACCACAATGCTAACAGGACCATGCTGCTAACAGAACCACACTGCTAACAGGACCATGCTGCTAACAGGATCATGTTGCTAACGGGAC